GGTCCATGAATCTGAACTATCTCATCAGTATCTCAACCACAGTGTTTCTAACTGTTTTAAGGACTCAATGAAAAGCTATATGTGCCATTTCCCCTTTGCTTGCTTTTAATTTTTTTTTAATTTGGCTTTTAAAAGTTTTATATTTTGCAGTATTTGAAATTTGTTTTTGTGGTTATATATATATATCCCTTAATGGCTTTAAGGGTGGTCAGGAAAAAGACAAATACACTTTAAATAAATGACTAAGAAAAATCTTTACAAATAGGGAATGAGGAACTCTGGCTTGAACTATTCATTAAACAAAATGTTGTGTTCCAGAAGGTAATTAATAAAATGTTCTGTCTGCTTCAGGACAAGACTGCTTGCTAATGGGCACTTACAATTTTTGAGATATTTGGAACATGTCCATCTTTACTCCAGATGCTAAAACTGCCAAAATCTGCCAACCACTTTTGGAAAGGATGAGAGTACATTTTTTGTTGTTTGAACTTCTCCCATACAAATCTGGCCTTAGCAAAAAAACCCCTAAAAACCAAAAACAAAAAACAAAAACAACTGCCACATAGTAGGGAGGAATTGCTTATACTCAGGTCAGTTAAAGCTTCTGCCAGAGATACTAAAATCTTTTTTATGGTGCATAGTGTTATGCACAACAACTGCATATTAAAAGAGAAATGAAATTTCCTCACCATTTTATCCTTCTGACCATGGAGCTGGCAGAGGGTCAAGTGCTTCTTAAAACTGTGGCAAGAATCTCATTATCTGTACCTAAAATTTCATGTAAGGTAGTAAAATCCGTATTTGAAAGATTATGTTTAATCATACTGCATTAGAGTCTGTCTGTATAAGCACCATTTTAGACACAACACAGTAGGAAGCACTTTCTTGTCTAGAATTTATCACAGGAGTCCTCTGAAGACCTGGAAGTATGCTCCTGTGATTTTGTGGAGATACTGCACTACTGGAGAGTAGTTAGGTCATATCCAGAGAGAGAAGGGTTGTTTTTTTTTTAATAGGAGAATATATACAGAATTAATGAAATTAGTATCAGGTATTAGTCCAAGTATTTTTTCCTAATGTCCAGATTTGCCTTTGTCATGGAACGTTAGTCTTGACTGAAAGGTAAACACTACACAGCATTTACTACAGTGGTATACATCAAATATATTGAATAGGAATTAGTCTCAAAATCTTTATGTAGCGTCTTTTTGTAGCTGGCTTTTAATCATATTGATTATATTCAAAATACTTCAATATCTTCCTACTTTTATATTTTTTAATATGGTCATCATCAGTAGGGATATTCATGATCATAAGTAGAATAGATTTGGCAGAGAAGGGAACATGGAATCAGAGAATATAGCACCGGGATGCAAAGGCAGGGGTTGTATTTTGCTTTAAATAATAATTTTAAATGGACAATGAAAAAATTGAGATCCCAATACTTCCATTGAAAAAAATGCAAAGAAGTCTGTAGAAAGATAAGTTATTTAAGAACTATGTGAGATTTTACTACTATTGTGGTAAATGGAAACAGAAGGTGTTTGTCATCATTCACACCAAACTTTGGTTTATTCCTTGTTTTCATCTTCTAAATGATATGTTCTGAAATAAAGATCTCCAGCACAGACTGGATGGTGTTACAAACCATCCTAAAGGTGAGGGTAACTCAGGTTTTTATTACTTGATCCCTGGGAGCAGATTAGGGTGAAACAACACTGAATGATCAGTGTTTATAAATACATATATATATGCACACACACATATATATATATACATATATATGTATGAGTTAGTTTTGGAAAATTTTGGTTGCAATGGAAAGGAGGTATGTAGCCATTTTGGTTATTATTCTCAATAGCAATACAGCAATACAAAAGCATTAAAATAATACTGAAGAAAATTTATAAGGAAATTAAAGAAGAGAAAGAAAGGAGAATAGGAAGATATCACCACACATGAATTCAACAAGATTTGATGTAATTTCAATATTTTTTAGTCAAAGTGATGGTTACAGTTTTGATCTGCCAGGAGTGGGGAAAGCCCATAAAACATAGAGTTCAATGGGTTAATATATATTCAGGTTTACATGGGAGTATCCAGACACATCTCCTGGAGAGGAGAGTTTTACACTGGCTTTTGCAACACCATGGATCTGTTGCAGGTGTGGATGGTCTCCCCCTGCCAGACCCAGCCAGGGCTTATTTTCAGCACATCTGCTGAGCTGGCTTTTCTTGTGGATACATTCCTCTCAGTGTTGTTTCCTTCTCCTTAGACATGAGATAATGGGACAATAGTAGCACCTTTATCTTATCTCAACTTCCCATCAGGAGGCTTAACTTACTGTCCAAATTTCCAGGAATTCACAGAGACATTCTGGGGAGAGGGAGAGAGGGGAGTTCTGTGGTGTCAGAGGAGCAGTTGTTTCTTCATACAGCTTGACATGGTGGGCAAAGTCCTTCGGTGATAACCTTAACAGTGTTAGAGCCATTAACCATTATCTGTGGATCAGCCAGAGATTTCTCAGTGGGATCTCTCAAGGCTGCATTTCATTCTGCTGCTCATTCTTTCCTGCTCATTCTGCTTCCTTAGCTGTTGTCATGCAGCAGGTGCGGGTTTTTGTGAAATGTTGCTGTTTTGATCTAGTGTCTTTTCATGTCTGCTTTTTTTTTTTTTTCTATTTTATTTCTCTTGTAATTCTTTTTATGTATGTTGGAAGACAGTGAAAAAAAGCAGGATCTTTGAAGTTCTTTATTGATGGAAACATTGCAAAAAAGTTGAGATTTATATTCTCGTCTTTTATGTGCAGGGATGTTTGTCAAAAGAACCTGTAGGACATATCACTCACTCACTCCTGTTGAGTTTCAGTGGAATTTCAAAGTCTTAATTCCCTTCAGGCTCTTCTTCCCAATTCTTTATGCCTCAAGGATCAGTCTTACCATAAAAATGATTTATTGGTAAAGCCCCTCAGATGACAACCACGAGGAGGATCTTAGGACAATTGTTTTCCTTTAATTACCTGGTACTTCTATCCAGATTTCATATATTCCCTTGCTGCTCCTGATTCTCCGTGATATTATGCATTTTATCACTTTCCCTGGTCTGCAACTGAACTGATAGGCAACTTGTTATTTGTAAATGAGATTTTAAGTCACGTGATATTTAACAAATAAAACAACATAGAAATCAGCAAATAAAAGAGGAGAATTAAATGTGATCTATCATAGAGAAGTGAGCAAAGCACTTGTTATGAGGCAGTGTGTCTAGCAGGGATGAGATACTGGACAAAATCAAGTATAATATCAAAGAAATACATGTTTTAGAGGTTCATAATTTTGTATTAAACAGATGTATTTACTAAAATATTTTTAGAGATAATAGAAAATGGATGTAAAGAAAACTGAACAATTTAATTTTCAGTGTATTGTCGTGTTTAATTTAATATAATTTTAAATATTTAAAATTTTAATTAGAAAAATTGCAAAATTTTATTACATTAACGTACAACCTCTTGGTATAGCTAAAAACTGAGCTTCTTGGTTTTGTCAGGTTAGTTTGTAAGTATCCATAATTTTCAAAATATCTCTTTGTTGCAAGCATTTTTTGCTGTTCATAAAGAGAACTGCTTCCTCTCCTGCCCCTGTCATGCTCCTTCACATAACAAAATTCTCTTTTCTTTGTTCTGCATGCTCTCCTTAGCCTCTGGCCCTGACCTGGAAAAGGTCCTCACAGACACAAAGGTCCTCTTTGACTCACAGACCAAAGGAGCTGAAGAGAGCAGTCACTTGTCGCTGTCTAGTCAGCACTCCTTTTATGTGGCTGTATGACTGATGGAGAAGAACCTTAAGCCTTGTTAATCAGCACACAAGGGAGCCAGCAGAAGATGATAGAGGCTGATAAGTTCCTTGAAGTCACTTTTATATTGAAATCCCTTGAAAATTTTATATTGGTTAAGTTTTATCAGGCCTTGTCCTTTCGAAGTTGTTTACTTGAAAATGGTATATGCAGAGCAATTGCAGTAGTACAGACTGTTGCAGCATACTAATATTTTGAAGTCATGAGACTAAATTTTGTACCTGTCCAACAAAACAAAATTACACCAAGGTAGCATTTGCCAATATGCCGAATACAGTTTGCTTCCAGCATAGTTTTTAAGCTCTCCCATATCCAATTTATATGCTGTGCTGGCAGAAGCAAAACACTAAATCCATTTTGAAGATAGCTGATGAATTTGCATTATCAATGTCTAATCAGTTTTTTGTTTGTTTGTGTTGTGATTTAACCCCAGCCAGCAACCAACTGAACAGCAACAAAACCCACCAGATGGGATACCCAGCACTGGTTGACACAGGCATCTGGTCTAGGTCATCAGTCTGTTTTTACTTGCATCCTTTTTTCCAGCTGTACTGCCTTCCTAAGGCATCAGAGTAAGGTTGATCAGGCAGTGTGTGTCACCTGTGTGTGTCATCAGCTGTTGTTTCCTACTTACGTGCTTTTGTTCATAAAACTCACACCATTACAGAGTCTTTCATTACTCTTTGGAAAACTCTTCTATCACTCTTGTGTATACTGTACCCTTTATGGATTGCCTTGTTTCCTCACTTCCAGGCTCAGCCATCTGCCACGCTCTTGAGATGCTGGGTTACTCCACAGGAGAAGATACTGAAAGAACTATTTGGTGTCCTTTGTATTTTTTCCTTACTTTCCTTCCTTACTGTATTTACTGAAATTACCCATATCACAGATACTTTNAAACCTAAATATTGAAAATGTTCAGTACAAAAACAACAGTTAGCAATCATGAAGAAGAATGTCATACCCATAATACATTGACTTCCTGTTTATTATTCTCGGCACTGTACAATTTTTTGTGATGACTGTTCCCCCTTGACAATTTTACCAAAGGAGTTTTGCAAACAAAGCTTTCCTATTTTTGTTCTCAGAAAGCAGATTGTTGTTTCATTGTGTCAAAAAACCCCCATATATTTATTCCATTACAGGAGTACACAATAGATGTTTTCTTCCGTCAGAGATGGAAGGATGAGAGATTAAAGTTTAAAGGCCCAATGAACATTCTTCGACTGAACAACCTAATGGCCAGCAAAATCTGGACTCCAGATACGTTTTTTCACAACGGGAAGAAGTCAGTGGCTCATAACATGACGATGCCAAATAAGCTTCTACGAATCCAGGACGATGGGACACTCTTGTACACCATGAGGTATGTCTGTTCATCTCTACTCAAGCTATTTCTTGATGTGATTTTTTCCATTTAACAACTAAATCAGGTTTCAGGAGAAATCTCCTTTGTTTTATTTCTCTCTAAGCAGAAAGAAAGCTAGAAAAATGCATGTTTTGTTTCCAGTTCTGTTGAAAGTCTCTTGGCTAATAGTGAGTTGGATCAGTTTTCCTATGTCTGCCTCAGTTTTCAAATTTTTGTATTGAAGATATTTGAGACCTTCAGGTAGAGTTTACCAACTCTGTCTTAGAATGATGGAAATAGTGTAGGAGTTTAGCCTGTTACTGCAGTGGTTGTACTGAATATGTGAGCCCCTAAGCAAATTTTTGTTAAGATCAGAGGCAATAAAAAAACAGTGCAAGAATAAAGAGGTAATAAGGTCTCAAATTCTTTCCAGCAAGTGCAAAAGGGAAAATATGTCTTACTCTGTAATTACTGTTTCTTTATATCTAATGGAAATATTTAACTTAGAATTTTAATTCTTTCATCTTGTGCATAATTTGTAGCTAAGATAAATATTTAGCTGGTAAAATGTTTTAAATTCACTTAGAAAATAGAATATAGAATACGAAAAATTATAAAAACAGGTATTAGCAGCATTTCTATAAGACTGATTTCTTCGGTAACTCTTTTGGCAATCATGTTACCTATGTGCATTTTTTAAAAAATATTTACCCAAGTTTCCAGAAGCCCCTGACTTGTTTTTTCCTTTTTCTTGGAGAATATTTAATAAATTGAAGTTGTCATGAATGTTAACTTAAAATCTCCAGCCTAAATAAGATAGAAAATGTGAGCTTCAAATTTTACATGTACTCTGGTACTTTTTCCATGCATCCCTGAAACTCAGTTTTACTTCACATCTCTGAAACCCTTGGAGTATTGAGTGTTGATGGATAGACTGCTAATGATATTGGGTGATGTAGTGGTTAGAGAGACTCAGAAAAGTTTCCTTGAAGTAAATTGAGACCCCCTGTGTTGTATTTTTGCTTCAGATCAAATCAATACTTGAGAATTATCTGCATAAGCTGACTGAAATTCTCTTCCTCCAGAGGGTATAATAACCATATACTATAAACAATAGGAAATACTATTTGAAAATATTTTGGAGCATAAGCTGGGTCAGGTTAATTATAATTAACTACGCATTTTTTTTACTTGTAAGTATGTTGGTTTTCAGGGTATGAGATTAATGTGTACACTGATCTAACTGTTTTGCCTAGATTTTAAATAGCTATTTTTATAGTGTCTACATAAAATGATTGTGTGATTTACATCAGAGGCTTATGCAGTTCTTTCCTTTGCCTTCAGCTGTTTGCTGATTCTTATCTCTCGGCGCCCCTTGAATTCAGATAAACATTCCTGGGGAGTGGAGGAGCAGAAAGATGAAATGTGTTTTGGTGGAAGGCTAGGAGAAAATACAGAGAAAACAATGACTAGGAACCACTGGGAGTACAGAAGGATGTAACTGCTATTTGGGGCTGGATGAAGAGAACGAAAAGGCACACAGAAAAACATCTCTACCCAGAGAAGATTTACAAGATAGGAAGGAGAAACACAGGGTTTTTCTTGGATTTTTTTTTTAATTAAAAAATGAGGAAGTCCATTAAAAGCTTTCTTCAAATTGTTTAAAATTATTTTTTATTATGCTAATCCCCATATATGATACTGAGATATTGCTGAGGTTTTCTCACAAAATGAGACAAAGTGGATGCTTTCTTAACATACTGTCACACTTTACACAAATATAAAGAATAATCACTAGTAACATGGAGAATGAGCAGCACCAATCTTTTAAAGAACAAAAATATTTTTGCTCTGTATCTTCCATTAAAACTGTCAAAAAATTAAATTCAGAAGACTGGAGTAAGGTTCTTTGGCATGTTAATTGTATTTTAGATGCTTTTTAAATGAGCCTTAAAGAGCAGTATTAGCACACATGTTCCTTAGAATATTATGAGAAGAAAATTATTGTTCTTAACAACCTGACACTACTTAATTCGTATTTTTCTTTAAATGGCCTATCTTCATAATTTTGAGGTTGACTTTTACAGGTTCTTTATGTGATAGGTAAATGCCTTTCAAAGGAGCACATAAAATGGAAGAAATAAAAGCTGATTTAAATTCTTGTTAGTTTAATATAAAATTTTAATTCAGTCTACTAAATCGGCATAAACTTTGTTCATTTCTGTGGAGCTGATTTTCTTGTCCTGCTAAATGACTTAAATACATAGAGGTCTTTTGCCTTTTAGGCTTACAGTCCAAGCTGAATGTCCAATGCACTTGGAGGACTTCCCTATGGATGCTCACTCGTGCCCACTGAAGTTTGGCAGTTGTAAGTATATAATGTGAACTACACCCTTTGGTTAGTGAATATCTAACATTTCTCAGCACAATTTTGTTTCAGTAAATTGTCGCATGAGAAATGTAAACCACGAGATGGGACTTCTAAATGAAAATAGTAACCTGACATAACAAAATCTCTTTTCTCTATTCAAGTGTTGTGTCTTCTAGTGTATTTTAAAGATTTCATTACTCCAGTTAGCAATAAACACCCTGCACCTGATCAACACTGCACGGGTCTACTTTCATTGCAGTGTGCAAATCGTACTGACGAACACAGAACAGGATGCACATAGCCTGTCTAGTATTAACAAAGAACAGATCAAAGACTTCCATGAGTGGTTTTTAAAAATTTATCCCAACAACTTAGTTTGTCTTCATTGTTAACAATATTTTTAATGTTCTTATTCAACGAAGACAATAACAAATACCTTTGTATGATAAAAAATTAATTCTTTAGTGCATCTTCATGCTACAGACAGGTGGAATTTGACCTCACTGGTATTATTTTTAACAACAGCATTATTTCACTTTCTTAGGTTACAGCCATTCTTCTTCTTCTTCATTATATATATTCTGTGGATTTTATACACTAAAAGCTTTCTTTTTTTTTTTTTTTTCCTTTGGCTGCAGTCTATATTCTCTGCTAGGCCTGGAAAGGAAATTGTATTTTTTGAGGAAACAAGTTAAAACCTATAAATTCTGGCTGACTTTACAATAATTGTAGCAACCACAGAATACAAAACAGGGGATATGCTGCCACTAAGGACATCATTAACCACATTATGCTTGTCATAGCACTGTGCCTCCCTGCACACTCTCTCCATCATGCTCCAATATCCCTTTTCCTTGGAGTTTGTAGCCAATTAAACAAAGCCTGCACTTCTAATGGTGTTTCCACACTTGAAGGAAAACTTAGCTATGGAGATAAAAGATCATTAGAATGGACACTCTTAGCAAAATGGAGCATTTTCCTGCTCCCTCAATATTACATTTGTAATACGTAATGCAGCCTAAATAACTAAAACCAGAGATGTCAGCCAATATCAGCTACTGACTAATAATATTTACATACATGTGCCCAGCAAGGCATGTTGGATTTATAAGGTGTTGCAGGAAAAAAAGACTCATATGTATCCTCAAAACAACTTGAAAACTCCTGTAATAATGAAACTCACAGCCCAAAAGGCTACTTTCTTCGTGAGCAGTTTTAGGTTGGAATCCCTTATGGCTAGGTGTATTAGACTTTGTGTGAACCACTTCCTTTTTTGTCTTTTTATATGGTCTTGATTGTTTTTCTTACCAGCTTGCTGTTTTTTCTCTCTCTATGATTTTCCAATAATAAGAGGAATTCTAAATGTGAGCAGTTCTGAATGTGAGGAATTCTAAATGTGAACAATGTGATTTTAAAAAAAGTGTCTTTCATTTCCCTCAAAGTCACCTATGCTCCAGCCTGTGGGCACCTTCAGGGGACTCATTTCTGTTCATTTTGAATGGCTTCACACACATTTTATTTCTTTACCTAAGACTCATTCTAGACAACTGTCCATTTTTCAGCTTTTATTCTGGGGTAGAATCTGAATGAGAAATAGTGGTGAAAATAAGCAGGAATCCTGAGGATTTTGGTTTAACTAAGGCAAATTTGCCAGTGGTATATATTTGTCACAGCTCTTCATATGCTGCCAATCTTGGGTTGCTAGGAGGATCATCAGCATGTATGAATGTCTCTTTTTATACAGAAGAGAAAGGCCAAACTGAATGTATGGGAGAAGCTGTAGCTTAATAGATTGCTTTTCTTTATTCTTTTCAAAAAGTCGAGCTGACAGTGAAGAGAATGGAGACCAATCAACAATTTGCCATACTGCTGGTTTGCATTAAAGCAGAGATATTTTTGTGGAAAGCTGGAAGGATAGATGGGAAGTGTTAAAAATCTACTTGCTACCCACCTGCTAGATTTTGTTAGTCATGCAATTTATGGCTAGTTGCATGAGGAAGCTACTTTCTGAGAAGCCTCTAGAGATTTCTCAAGTGAAAACAGTAATGATGCTTTACTTTCTAATTGCACTGCAATTATGGTGCAAGATTTACAATGTACTTATCTCAGTCAATCAAAATGAGCACACAACTTCTTCCATCAGTTGTTTACCCTTTTCCTTTTATATTCCATTTGTTAATAGATATTAGACTGGAAAAACTTTCAGGACATACTATTTTTTTTTCTTACTTACTGGAGAGCCATTAGTGCTGTTTAAAATAATGTGTTGATTTACTTTTATATTAGTTTATTTTGAGAGACCAGGCTAAATGTGGGTTTGATCATGAATGTTCTGAGAGAGCAGCCTGTTTAATGTTGGTGTGTCCCCCAAAATAATGGCAACTAGTGAGATTTAAGAGGGTGGAAAGGACAAGGCACCAGGGTGTTGTCACTGCTATTCTGGATTTCAACTAATAAAATTCTTGTAATACATCCCCAAAGTTGAGAGAAGAGACAATGCAAGGTCAGAAGTACACAGGAATGAATTTTCAAAAATGTTGTATCCTAAATCTTGCAAATTGTCCTTGTTTATAGGATACATATAATATCTAATTTAGGGCAAGTCTTTTAACAGTGTAGAAGAGATGTTGTTTGTATTTTAATAGAAATAAATTGTGTTTAATAAGATCACAAGTGAGTGCCCTGTTTCCGTGTTGCAATAGGAACTTACTTTACAGTAAAGCTACTTTAAACAGCCAAAGATATTTTTTACTATATTTTTTAATTTTAAATTCTTTGGGATGAGTTTCTATTTGAAAAATAAGTAGCTCTTGTAATTCTGTGAGTTTTGATGGACACTGTTTAATTTAAATTGCTGCTGATATATTTTACCTTGTTTCTCACAGATGCATACACAACTTCAGAAGTGACATACATTTGGACTTATAATGCTTCAGATTCAGTGCAAGTGGCACCGGATGGCTCAAGACTGAATCAGTATGATCTTCTAGGCCAAACAATTGGAAAAGAGACAGTTAAGTCAAGTACAGGTTAGTAAAAGATATTTTGGAGTAAAAGACAGTTACTGGCTGTGAAAACTATATTCCAGATAGTGTTAAAGGCTTCTGAAAAAGAATGTTGCAAAATGTGATCTATTAGGCATGTACTGTACCAGTAACACAAAACAGCACTTCACTGATTCTTTCAAATTATAATTACCTGGTGATAGCAGAGGTGAACTTGCCCTCAGTAACTGTTTTTAAAAATTTTATCTGGAGCTCCATTTAAATCCTAACATTTGTAACCCAGGGTTGGGATATTTGTTACATTTCATATTGTCGATGGCATCGATTTTGTCTATTAAATGGTAAAGCAGATAGTTTTCAACCATGTTTCCCTTCCATCATGTTTAATGTCAAAAGCACTGGACTATTCTGAGAAACTCTAGACTGTTTTCCTGCATGTGCCAGGCTGTGATGGGCCCCCATGACTGCTTTCTATCTGTGATTAAATTCTCAGAGAGCTGTTGTGTGAATGCAGACAGTTGCTTATGAGCAGAAGCCTTCAAGGCTGAAGTACTTCTCAGTGCATACAAGGGTTCCTGGAAGTTCCTTAACAGTCATCTTTCATGGAACACAGTGGGAATAAGAAATAGCTGTACTCAAAATCTTTCTTATATTCTAAAGGATGCTTTCTATTACAAAGTACCTTTGGTACAATATAACCCTAGAACATTTGTTTCACATAAATATAGCAAACTTTCTCTTGTCAAAGAAGTAGACTTTCTTAAGATGATAACCTTCTGTTTCATTGTATTTTGTTTGTTTGTGGCATCTAGGTGAATATACAGTAATGACAGCTCATTTTCACTTGAAGAGAAAAATTGGTTATTTTGTCATTCAGACTTACCTCCCCTGTATCATGACTGTCATTCTGTCTCAAGTGTCATTCTGGCTGAACAGAGAATCTGTACCTGCCAGGACAGTCTTTGGTGAGTATACTGACTAGCATTAGCTCTATTAGCTATTTGCAATAGCTGAAGATGCTAGAAAGTACTTCTGAAGTAAAGGGCTTTTTCATACGAGTTAAAGTGCTTGTAGAATGTGATATGATTCCTAGTCCAAACAGTTTTCAACTGCACCTTACACATCTCCTGAGAATCCCAAAGATTTTGAAAATCAATATGTACAAGCAAACTGTCTTCATATATCCTTGACTCTTTTAAGAGGAAAAAAAATCACAGTATAGAAAAAGATGGTGATGTTTCTATTTAAAAAGTAAATTTAGTAAACTTAGATGATTTCCTGAAATATCTTACCTTGGTATTATCTAAGTATTCTGGTACTTGGTAGATAAGCAAATTTCTAAAACTATTTTTAAACTAGGCAAATTAAATTTGAATTTGTTGAATTGCTTGTGTTAAAATTTCAAGTTGAAGTTCTTTTAAAGAAACCTTATTCTGGGGTTTTGGGCAACAATTTTTTTCTAATTCAAATTGGAGATTACTGTGACACAGCAGACAGGTTCAGCAGAGCAGTAAAAAAGTGTTTCTCAAAGTAACAAATGCCTTTCTTATTTTCAAAGCAAAGTTCCTTTAGTTTCTTTCATTTTAAAGAAAAAGAGATAAGCAAAATGTCTGTGTGGAATCAGCCATCAAAAATACTGCCTAAAATGGTATGATTAATCATCAGTAAACACTATGTACTCTTCAAAAAAATAGGCCAAACTCAAATGCATATTAAGTATGATGCACAACAAAGCATTTAATGTCGCTCCTGGTAGAGAACATGCCACCCGAAGCATTGTGAAAATTGCAGGTTTGAATATGAGCCTTGTTGAAGTCAGATGAAACAGGTCAGGGGTTTCAGTGGGATCAGAATTCTACCATGGTTTTTCAGGCAGCTATCACGCAGATTTTTTCGTCCTTCTTCAAAATCTTCTATGAATTTATCCATTTTCGATTATGAAAATGTACACTTCTATTTTCCAGCCTTGCAAGTACACTGTCAGATCCTTTGGTATTTCTGTCTTTGCCCTTTTCTGCATCCACTCCAATACATTTAGGACAGTGTGACTGGTTTCTCCAAAAAAAATCTCGCATCTGCTCTTCCTAAAATGCACTTTCTGTTACTGTGTCACTGTTAACAAGGCACTCCATCCATAACAAAGCCCTGGGATAATTTTCCTGAAATGTGTTCCTTCCTGCACACCTCTTTCTTATTCTTGATTTATTTTCTGTTTAATTTATATATTTTTTAGAAATAAGTAGTGTCTGCATGTCAGCCGGCTGCTTTGCTTTCCTGCAGTTTAGTATAAGGTGATAATGAAGTGTCCTGCTTCAGGATGTCTTGATGAAAGGGCATAGGAGGCTGCAAGAACAGAATCACACCACTCAGTGACACGAAACTGCAATCTGTTTACTAAGAGCCATGGGTTTATTGCAGACATAGCAGTTTTATGCTAATATTTTATTCCTGCCACACAGACATGCACCCTGTGTGCCACTCAGGGCTCTGTTCCCTCCAGGCCAGTATAGACAGGCACCCTGAACCCAGGGAAATAAGACACATCCAGGCTTTGCCTGTTGGAGAAACCTTAGCCCTAGCATGCAGCATTTGCTCCTCAGGCTTAGCCTTTTTCATTGGGTTGGGTTGGATTTTCCCTGAGGAGCTATTTCATGACATTCTCTTACACTCTAGATGAGATTGCAGCATAAGCTGCCAATTGGCTCTCTAAATCCACAGCCTCAAGTGGATCTCCCAGTCTTCTCCATACCTACTGGCAGGAGCTGTCACTGGGATTTCTTATACTCTCTGCTGTCTTGCTTGAATATGCTACAAAAATGTGCAGTTTCATGCAGTCAGAGTTTCATAACAACAAAAGAACATAACAAAGTTCATCTATTCCTCTTTAGTGGTTTTGGACTGTGCTGAAATATTCAGTTAGAGCTGGGCTGGTAACTCAGTGTTTCATCTGGGTGGTGCTTTGAAGTAGACTCCATCCAGTGACAAAAGAAGCCCATATTACAGTAGTAAGGCAACAAGCTACATTCAGCAGGGAATATAAAAATTGTAGGGGGTGTTCCTTTACACTTATATTGATCATACTTAAGTTTTGGTTTTTATATGGAATAGTCACTTGCTAGATACCCATCTTTGCATTTTATATTAAATACATCAATATTAAAATATAATTAAACGGAGTTTATTGGCTTTGACAAAGTGCTTTTGGAAATCAATGAAAATCAATGAAAATCATTGAGAAATTTATTTTGATGACCTTCTTGAGAGATAAAGACCAGCTACTGGAATACTGTTCCTTTCAAAGAAACATAACTTCTAGTTATTCAAAGCACCACTTAGCATGTATTATTTCATGGGTGAAAGAAGTTACTTTTCCCTTTCTATTCTCATGCAATGTGGTTTCAAGTTCTAGCTTAACACTAGGGGTTGGTATAATGAGGCTTATTTTACAGTTGAGCTCTTTAATCCCTTTTCTTTATGGCATCTACTTAATATTGCTGACCTACCCTGTCCCAAATGAATTATGGCCTAATGCTATATTGCTTCAACTTTGCTTAAATTATTGGAAGAAGAAAGTTTTGTCATTGTTGATTAGATAAGTCTTGAATGTGCTTTCTCTAGCAGATAAATCTGATTGCATTCTTAATGAAAGAGAATAAGAGTTGTTCATAATGCCTTCATTTAGTGCAAGATTACAATCTGTTTCATTTAGTAATGTGTTTATTGTTATGTATCTAGTGTCAACAATATTAGCAAAACTAATCTTGTGCAGCTTATTGGATTCTTGCTTCATTTTTAATGGGTCATAGCACTTAGAAGCATCACGTATTTGAATAGCAGCATTAGATGTAGGTGACAAAAAATCAGGAATTAGTTTTCTTAGTGCTACAGTTATCTATGTTTTAACTCACATGGAGTATCAATGAGAGTGATAAAATAAATGTAGTTAGATATATATTCTTTGTTAACTGAAGCAGGAAAGAACAAAAATAGTCTTAGTATTTATTATATTGTCCAAGATGAAGACTTTTAAATTCACATAGCTATGTTCTTTTGTCAGTTCACTGTGATAATTTTACTGTTGCTCTGTGTCTGTTTTCACTTGTTCTTGATGTGGGTCCTTTCCATGGGGTGCAGTCCTTCAGGAACAGACTGCTCCAGCGTGGGTCCCCTTTGGAGATGCAGGTCCTGCTGGAAGCCTGCTCCAGCACAGGTTTTCCATAGTGTCAAAGCCTCCTCCAGGCATTCACCTGTTGTTTCATGGGGTCTTCTATGGGTTGAAGATCGATCTCTGCTCCACTGTGGACAACTCTGTGGGCTGCAGGGGCACAGTTGCCTCACCATGGTTTTTACCACAGGCTGAAGGGGAATCTCTGGTGCCTGGAGCACGTCCTCCCTCTCCCTCTGCTCTGACCTAGGTGTCTGCAGACTTGTTTCTGTCACACATTCTCACTTGTTTTCTCTGGCTGCAGTTGCTTCTGCTCAATATAATTTTTTTCTCCATCTTAAATATGTCATCCCAGAGGCACTGCCAGTGTTGCCCTTGGGCTTGGCCTTGGCCCGCAGTGGTGGGTCCCTCTTGGAGCTGGCTGGCTTTGGATCTCTCAGGGATGGGGGAAGCTCCTGGCAGCTTCTCACAGAAGCTGCCACTGTAGCCCCCCACTAGCAAAACCTTGTCATGCAAACCCAAACCAACTTTTTAGTTGTGACACTAGAGAAAGTGGAACCCAAGAAAAGTTCAGATTTGTTCTCTGGTTATTTTTACATGGGCATTGAATAATAGAGACCCATCCTTTTCAATAATTCTATAAATGCAATGTACCTTTTCCTATGTAATTGAAAAAAAATCTCAGTTGACTTTATTCTTCTCTCCTTTCACATGCTGTAGATTATCTTTTGTGCCTTTAGAGATATCCCACCACTCACACATTTCTGTTTATAGTTTCTTAATTGAGTATTTCTACTAAATGTAGATATAATAATATAGTGCTAGACAGTGGGTAGTGGAAAACTAGCCCTGAGTAAGAGACTGAGCAGGCTGCAAACAAATATATCTCCTTAACGTAGTGATGTGTGAAGACACTAGTTCATATTCCAGTGGTGGTATTAATTGCATGCAACTTTTCCTGGAGCTGGGGTAAATAGCACTTGCCATTGGGCTTTGGGAACAAGCTTGCCTGTTGCTCAGTGGGAAGTTGTGTTCCACTGCTCAGGATTGATACAGTGAAGCAGCGTGGTACTGACTTCACCGTATGGATGGATACCTAGCTTACCCAACTGATTGAATTCAACTTTTCTGGAAACAGATTTTGTTATGGTTCCTGCCTCCCAAGCTATTTAAAAAGTCTGGTTTGTGTTGTTCTTTTAGTAAAAAGGGTAGACAGAGTGCTTGAGCTATTTTCTGTAATCTTTCTCAATGGTTGTTCAGACTTACCTGCTGGTGTTAGATAAAAATCATGGTGCACTCCTTTTGTATTGCATTCTCTAGTAACACATATACATTGAGTAAATAAAAGCAAACAACACAGTGTGCAGCCAAATGTTTTGGTGCAATACTTTAATATCATGTAATACCTACAGAATTTTTAAGCTTTTGTTTACACTTCTAAATATTTGGTCTTGGAATGATAAAATGAAGTAGTAATCTGTGTCTCTGAAATAGTCAACAATCTTTTTGTTCTGCTGTATTTATGAATCTCTTTGTGTTTTGGACCAGGTTGGGATATCTAATTACCAAAACACATTTACAACTGCTGTTAAAAATAAAACAATGAAACTAATTTCCTAAATTTAAAAAAAAGTGATTTATCAATCCTTTTGTGATATGTTCTTCAACCATTATGTGTAACTTTGCAAACTTCTGTGATGAAAGGATAAAATAATAGGAGGAGCAGCCTGAAATTATAGGCTATAAAGCACATTTAAAACATTTTGTACAAAGTATTTGCAAAGCTACAGTACCTCTCTATTACAGAACTGTCCTTTGGTAACTCATTAATTAGGCCTTTCCCTTTCAAAGGAAGTGTCCACATTCTAGCACAAAAGGCTAGGAGATTTTTAGTTGACTAAAGTCTCTTCAAATTAGAAAAACCAGCTAATACACAAGAGGTGAAATTAGGGTCCAAAAATTTGTCCCTGTCAAGGAGTACCTTGACTTTTGCACATAAATGTGGGCATAAAGTAGTCATCATGACAGATTTTAACTTTAATATGTATGTGTTGCCTCCTCCAATTTCCATTCTGTTTCTAGTTATACATTTCTAGTTTTTCAGGTTACCTCTTTCACTGTAACAAGCATAACAGAGCTCATATTTTCCAGAGATATAAGTTTAGTCCTGGTGAAAAGTGTTGAATTTGCAGCTCTGGAGATGGATTTTCTCCAATGACAAATGCCATTTCAAAAGCAGCACCATAAAAAAAAAATAAATTAAAAAATCCCAGGCATCAAATAGCTCCAGTCTTGGCTGGAATAGATAAACCTTTAGTGATAGAAGATATTTAGCTTTATAGGCATGCACTGCTGAGAACAAACCTTGTAAGGATGGTTACTGTTAAGTAAAAAAATGCTTGGTCTTCTTTGGAGAAAGGAAATGCTGATGGTTTATTTTTTGGGTCTTTTTCAAAGACAAACTGATGACTGCTCATGGTCCCTTACAAAACAATATGTGACTATTTCTTCTGGCATCAGTTCAGTTGCCACATCTGCTGGGTGCTGGGCTGTAGAAGATAGTTCTTGACCTGTATGTAAACTGTGGGTTTTTTACAACATAGGGAGATATGCAGTCTTTACATAGACTTTTAAATACGTTTTGAGTACTTCATTGTAGGGGCTACAATTTACCCACTGTTCTTTATGCCAGTTTTAGTTCACTAGTGTTATGAATTAGATAAGCAATGAGGAACAGTTTTGTTCTAATCAGTGCATGGGTTTTGTGGGGTTTTAAGTTAAACCTTTGTGAAATAAATGAGTTTTGTTTTACAAGTTGACCATGTTCTTCCACATTAATAACTTTTCAGACTTCTCAGGTTTAGCAATGGCAAGGAGGCAGGTTATTTCCATTCAGTCCTTTTTCATAAAAAAGACTTGATAAAACTGATTTTTCAAATTAACTATAATGCGCAAAATCATCTGTCTTTTCTCTGAAGAATAATAGCAATATAAAAGTGCTAGACAATTCTAAACTGACAGATATTACAGATTAAATTTTCTGTCCAATTTTTTCCCATTCACTTCAGGTTAAATGACTGTGGTAGCTTGAACATCGCTGAATTTATAGAGTGAAGGAATAAAAGAAAGTATGTCAGCAATGGTCTGACAGCATTGATTAGCATTTGGGTCACAAAGTGGTGTAACTTGCTGAACTTTTTCGAGAAATTGTCAAGTGGCAGCAAGTGGTAACAAGATATAAATTCACAATGTTTTAAGTGAGACTTGGAAAGGTCAGCAGTAAATCTTAAATCAGATTTCTGAAGAAGTCAATGTGGTTTCCAGAAGATTAATTTATTCTATAAAGTGGGATTTAAACTGAGCAGTACCTTAGCAACCGTATATATTTACATGTAGATAAGGTCACCTTATATCTGAGAAACATTCACTTTGCTGATAATTCTGTATAATTATAATGATTTATCTGCAGCTCAGGACTGGTGTTAAAATTTACATGTGATAATTTTAAATGTAAGATAGGCTGTCTTTTCCCTGAGGTGCTGAAAATAATTTTGCCATATGTTCTGTAACTTAGGAGAGACTACGTTCTTTACAAAATATATTTTATCTACAGATTTTCTTACTGTACTGTATGATGGCTGCTTCCTTTTCATTGTTTAGGCTAGTAGATGCCAACAGTGTCATGGCTGATTCCAGGCCAAATCCTCTTTAATTTATGGAAGCTGAAAAACAGCAATTAGAGATTTATGTGTGCTAAGGTGTCTCGATGCTGTGTGACTCAGCAGGAAGTTTCTGTGCGTTGTTTTCCCTGCTGCACAGACCTTTGAAAGCCCTGAGGCTGAGTCCGCTTAGCCTGGCTCTGCCACCCTTTGTAGCACCTTCAGAGATGGAGATTCTTTACTGCAGGGATGAAAATTGTGGAGTCTGAGGAGGTCTCAGTGGATGTGATTGCTGCCTCTCTTCCCTTTCTCACAGTGGTTAAAATTGCTTCTTCTCTTGTAGCAGAAGGAAAATCAGAGCTATGTTGATCCTTCTGAACCCAGGTGACAGATTGCTGACAGCAGAAGATCTGGCTTAAGGAGAGTGACTTTACTTTCTCTTGGGAAGCCTCCTACAACAATTTTATGAGTGTGTTATTTGTTGAAGCTGTGGTGTGCTGTTACTAATATTTCTGCCATGGCATCTCCTTTTCCTGTCATAGTGAAGTGTAGGTTTGCTGATCTGTGCTAAGTATATCACTTTGTGTCGCCTTTAATTCTGGAGACGTACTTAATGGTGTGCCACAAAGGGAATAGTTTAGTTTGTCTAAGTGTGATTCAGCCTGGGGTGGGAGAACTGATTTACTTAAGGATAAGGCCATGGATTTCTGCTTGCTAAATCTGATTCAGTAAGAAGTTCTTTTCTTCCTTTCCTCCCGTGTATCTTCTTCCTGATTCTTTTGGAAGGGATTTTTTTTTTTTTAACTAGGTCCTCATTATGTAAAAGGAGCTGCAAAGTTTTTTAGTAACTGCCACAGTGAATGTACAACCTGTATCACCAACTCTTGTTTTCTGATACATAGTACAGTTACAATAATCTGTCATTTCAAATCAGTGCTGTTCTAGAAAACAATCCATGTTACCTGAATGAGAACTTACCCTGTTTATGTGTTTGAGTATGTCACTGAATAACCATTCAGTAAGACAGCTACTGTAAAAAAAAATAAAATTCTCATAACTAAAGTGTATTTGTGTGGTAATTTCAGTAAATATGGGTGCCAGACCTCCTGCAGCCATTGCAGAGAAGCCAGCTACCAAACACTGACCTATTACTCATTATTACTCTGTTGTTATTTATTATTATTCTTTTGTGAAAAAAATATTAATTTTGTTCCTTAAAATAACGTATCCTGCCCTGATAGGTTAAAAAAATATTTTCTGTAAGTGAAGTCATCAGCTCTTTAAAAAAGGAAGCTTAGATAAGAAATTGAACTGAAACTACTTCAAAGGAAAATCCAGATACAATATTTAATATAATTTAAGCAATGTTTGTCACCAACTTAGAAAAAAAATTTGCATTGTGTTTCAAAAACATAATATTTTTTTGGTTTATTTTTGCTAACATTTGAAAGCCAAGTGAAATTGTTGATGTTCTGTTTTTGTGTCCCCTTGCAGGAGTAACAACTGTGTTGACAATGACAACACTAAGCATCAGTGCTCGAAATTCACTCCCCAAAGTAGCATATGCAACAGCTATGGATTGGTTTATTGCTGTTTGTTATGCATTTGTATTCTCTGCATTAATTGAATTTGCAACTGTAAATTATTTCACAAAACGAGGATGGGCCTGGGATGGAAAAAGTGTTGTGAATGACAAGGTAAGTCCTAAAGAAATAGTCCTGTTTCTAGTCAATTACCTAAATCAGCTCTAATATATTGTTTTGATGTTTTGCTATATAAAAAAAAAGAAAGATGCTTTAAATCAAAAGCATGTAGAAGTATTTTCTGTCCTGAACAGAAATATATCTGCTGTTATGTAGCTAATCTCATTTGGTCTCACTTATCCAGATTTAGTTATCAAGAACCATTATTCTTTTATTTTGGGAACTGTCTTGTTTTTTGACTCCTCAGATACAACTGTTTATCTGGTTATTCATAAAATTTAATCCAGATTATATTGGTTGAACACTCTTTAAATTTTTTAAAATTCAATTGGGTTGGAAATAAGAAAAAAAATACAGAACTATATGAAGTATATTAATTTGCATGATATGTCAAGCTTATAAAAACAAATTAATATCCATGTATGTGAGTACTATGAACAACAAAATCTAGAACTTCTGAACATTTCAAGTATTCTGAAACTTATCCCTAATGATAGCTAGACATTAATTTTAAAACTACTTTACATAGCAGATGCACAAAATTCTTTGCCTATGATGTATTGATGCTTTGAGTACACAGAAACACAGTCATGCCTTAATTTTCTGGTTTTTATAATGGTGTAGCCATGATGGAATGAAGAAGTTTTAACCTGATAGAATTTCTCATTTCACAAACAGGATGAGCTGGTGACACACCTAAATTTGTGTATTTTCAGTTTAGAATTTGAATAACACAGAACAATTATTAAAGCTCACTCGTTTTGACTGACAATAAATTTTATCCTCTTTTCCTATCTCACTCCTTGATTTTACCAATGAAAAACAGATTTCTTCTAAAAAATGCAGATTTCTGTGATTCTTCTTAAAATAGGATAGAATTTTATTTGCTTCCTAAATGATTATAGTAATCATTGACTGATTCCTCATCATTTTGAATGCATGAAGAAGCAAAATGTTCAGTTAATAGTAAAGGAGAATTAGAAGAAATGCTTGTTCTTCATAATTCCCTGTGACTTCTGGAAGGGCAGGAACTCTCCATAACTTCAGGATCTGTTACCTCCTGCTAGAGGTAAATCAGGGCAAGTTTATCAACATGTCATGAGTGAAGCTTTTCACACTGGCACACTGCCCTGGCATTGTAACAATGTAGGGAGCCCTTAAAAACCCTCTGATCATCCTCTGGTTATTCCTTTCAATTACTACGGTGTTGTCTCATGATTTTAGGAGTGGCAACTGTTTAACAGCTAGGCAGTATTCCTTCCCTAGGAGTGACAATAGTATCCATTATATTCTAAGATTTATATACCATCCATGTGTCCAGTTCTTTACTTTCTTCAAACTGACTTAGCAAAAAGGCTAAGCTTTTAACATAGTCATAGTTTCTCGTACGAAAATATGGTTCAGCTTTATTATGTAGGTCTCATTAATGGTATTACAGATACCTTATAAAACCACACTAATTGTGTCTGAAAGGAAGGACTTCTAGATCAATTAAAGTGTTTCTCTCAAAATTTGATTTGGCAATTTGCTCTTTTTTTAGCTGAATGCATCTGTACACCTAAAGCCAGGCTTACTCTTCACCAATTAAAATGAAATATGTTTCCTAAGTGACAGTTGTCTGTGTTCACATTATATGGAAAATCTTGTCTAAGTTGTGTTGACATGGAATTTGTCTCACAGGAAAGCAGGTGCAGGAAAAAGCTGCTATTTGATCAACTATTTTTCTCCAGTCAATAAGGAACAATACTGAATTCCCAACTGATTCCCAGATTTTCTTTTTATATGACACCATCTCCTAAGAAGGTATTTTGGGCACAACATCTAACCATGAAGATCTTAAGAAGATTTTTGCATGGCCCAGATAAATACCAAATTGGATGTAATTTAAAATCAAAATTGCAAGTGGAATAGATGCCTCCCAGTGGAAGTAAAAAATTGAAATGCAGCTATGTGAAATATGTCGCAAGTATTCCCTTACTTGTGTCACTTCATCAGATTAAAAATCAAAACAAACCAATACAACAACTAATGATTTCTTATATGATTTAGAAGTTAACTATTTCTTATAATCTGATTAATTCTGTATTTTATGGAAGAGATGGATTAAATCTAATATTTATTTGCTTGTCTCTAAATTACACACATATATTTTAAATTACTTTATTTTATTGTATTTTGTTTTATATATAAATGATATATGTTCTATTTTTATATATGTAAATAATGTCTATATTGCTTCCTGTGAGACTGCCTTCTACTCTTTCCTGTAGGTTATTAGAAATTCCTTAGTTTGAGGTTGCTGCAAAGCACTGGATCAATTTACAACATTACAGTCATATTGCAGAACTAGTCTGTGAAACTGTGTATTGGTCCAAAACCCCAAGCCTGTATTCATTCCCTATACATCCCTGTGCACATGTGTACACATGGACTCTCCATTGAACTGCCCCTGGTTGAACTTTAGCCTTTTAAAATCCTATAACAACACAGAATTGGTGAAGTTGGAATTGACCTCTGGAGATCGTTAAATTTATCTCCCCTACTGCAAGCAGGGTCAGCTAGGGATGGCTGCTCAAGGTCATTGTCCAGGTATTTTTTTAATATCTTTGAAGATGGAGAATCCACAACCTCTCTAGGTAACCTGTGCCAGTGCTAGGTCATGTTCTTAGTAAAAACTGGAGGTGTTTTAATACTAAAGTGGATTATTCTGTATTTCATTTTGTGCTCATTGCCTCTTGTCCTTCCACTGGATTTCACTGGGAATAGTCTAATCTTCTTTATTCTCAGATATTTACATACATTCATATGGCTCCCCCTGAGCCTCCTCTTTTCCAGGCTGAACAGCCTCAGCTCTCTTGGCCTTTTATATTTCAGATGCTTCAGGCTTTAAATCATCTCTGTGCTCCTTCACGAGACTAGTTTCATTATGTCCATGCCTCTCTTGAGCTGGGAAGCACAGAACTGGATCCAGCACTCCAGATGTGCCTCACCAGAGCTGAGTCGAGGGGAATGATCACTTTCCTTGGCTGGCTGGCAGCACTCTGTAATGCAGCCCAGGAGACTGTTGGCCTTTGTTTCTCACTGCTGACTTCTGTCCAGCTTGGTGGCCACTCGGACCCCCTGGGCTTTTTCTACAAAGCTGCTTTCTAACCCATTAGCCTCAACCTGCACTGGGGCATAGCTTCTTCCTCCTCAGGTGCAGGACTTAAATTGCCCTTTTCTGAGCTGCATTAAATTAATTCCTTCCCACTCTCCTTATCTTCAGCCATTTTTTAGGTTCTTTGTCCTGTTTTCATCATTGTTATGCATTTTTTAACCAATAATCTATGAAAAACAGAAATAGTTCTATGGCTAGATCTGAGCTCAGTTCTAAAACTATCAGTCTGGATTCCTTCTGTCACTTAATTGCAATCTCCTCCTGACCTCTTTACATGTGCGTCTATGTATATATATGTGTAAACACATTTCTCCAGAGTCTCTAGAAACTGTATACCCTTAACTGAAATTAATTAATTTATTAGTGGTATGTTATGACATGCCCAAATAATAGTCATGCTAGTTTTATGTGAGAAAGGTGGCCTAATTTTAATTTTACTGCAATGACGGGTAATCTTCACAGAAAACATTGTAAGAAAACATTGCAGGAAAACTTGCAATTTGAAAGGAGACAGATGCAAAGCCACTAGAGAAAGGCCAACTCTTTTCCAGTTATGCTTACAATCACAGTAACAGAGACTTCTTCACATAATTTCAGTAGGGCATTTGATGGTGTAAGAACAATCTTATGTCACCTAAACTTTCTTTCTGGATAGACTGGAAATATCTTTCTTTATATCTGAATTTATTGGCATAGTATTTATTTTAATATGCTCACTTCTTTCTTTTACTTTTGAAATTATGTTTTATTAAGTCTATTCTGGCAAATACACATGAAATATTTAACTTCCTGCTGTCTTCCAATAGAAAAAAGAAAAAGCATCTGTCATTAAGAAAAACAATGCCTATGCAGTGGCTGTTGCCAACTATGCTCCAAATATTACCAAGGACTCAGTGCTACCAACCATCTCCAAGAGTGCTACAACTGCAGAACCCAACAAGGCAAAGCCAGAAGCGAAGCCACAAGAAGCAAAGAAGACATTCAACAGCGTTAGCAAAATTGACAGAATGTCTAGAATAGTGTTTCCAGTCTTATTTGGTACTTTTAATTTAGTGTATTGGGCTACATATTTAAACAGGGAGCCTGTCTTACTTGGCTTTGCACCATCAACCTAAAAGCTGACTTGCACTGAGGACTTCAAGCATCATTCTAATCAGATAGGTTGTTCGCTATGTACAGTCCGACTAATAACTGCTAATCTGTGAACCATTATGTACAGTGTGTATATAAACGTCTGTGTGTCTCCAAAGGAGGGACACAGTGTTAGTTCATGGGTCTGTAAACAGATAGCACCCATGGCAAATACAGCCAGCTCTTTAAAAGTTAAACCCAGGGGACTTCTGTTAAACTAGAATTCAAATATACAGAATTATATTCTCTCCGTACAATGAGATGAAGATGTGATCCTACATAATTATTTAGGAGCAGTATTTTTTTAATTTAAAGTTAAAATATTTTTCTATAAAGTAACTAATTCTACTTTAGTGAAAGAAACTGTCATTTAAAAAAGTGATTTTTTTAAAAAGGTGTAATTGTTTCATATAACAGCAGTACCCATGTACATAACAGAGTACGGAGGTCTACAGTTCTGCTCTTCACAAACATTCTGGATGCAAGTTAGACTGAAGAGGTAGTAAACACTACTATATGGCAAAAGCCACATGTTTCTTACTTCTGTCCTCTTTGAAGTTGTTAATAAATTTACCTAATTGATTTCAGGGGAAAGGGTTAATCAAATTCAATATCAACCAATTTCTGCTAGTGAGATACTTTTTTTTTTTCACTGTTTTATTTATTTAGTATTACTAAGATGGATTGTCTGGTTCAGCAAAACTGGATTTTTTATTATTATTATTTTTGATTTTGTTCTTAATTGAATTATTTGCAGGTTTACAGAATCACTTAGAAATTTTTCACATTTAAGTTTATCAGTAACATAATATACCTTTTTTTCTTTGCTTAATGTTTTCCTAAAGCCTGCCATTACAATATTTACTTGTATTTGTCCCAGGAAGCACTGTTTTCAAGGGAAACAAGAACCATTATTTAAGTTCAGGAATATGTCCATATAATAAAATTTACTGCTGCTTTTGTAAATTGCAACTTTACATTTCGCTGACATAACTTTACAACAACTTTGTATACTAGAAATGATTTTGCTAAGATTTGAATGTTATTTTTTTAATAAAAGGTCATGCATCATCAGTAGGCATCAGCTGTATTTCATATACACAAATACAACAAAATTGGATCTGCCATTGGCAATTTTATAAGAATATTTAATACTATCAGTAAAATTGTTTTTCTTCTGAGCCTTTGCAAAGATTCTTTATGCCCCTAAAGGCCTGGTAAATCATAGCATAAATAATAATTGTGTACTGTATTTAGATTTTAGTATACTTGGCCAATCAAAAATATTTTGATTCACACATACATTAGCAGTTATTAGTTGACCTTTAAAAAAGATACACCTTTATGATGATGTCTTCTAGTAGAGACATATGTAGTCGTATAGTGTCATTTATTGCAGTTTTGTACAGTAACTTGAGTATAGTGCATACAATAGATATGTTCAGAGTTTAAAAAAAGTTGTACAATTATTTCTAAAATCAAATAAAAGAGTATCTTAAGACATGGAAGTGTGCTAAAATCAACAAAGAGAAACACTGCTTTCTTTTGCTGTTTTATTTTCTTGCTTTTTCTTTGCTTTTGATGTGATTCTGTTTTGTACTTTGTGTGACAGTATAGATGCCAAGGTCACAAATGCATATTATAAATAGAATTAATAGTTAAGACAGAGTTGACATCAGTAAAATAAAGACATTTAGTAGGTTATAAAAGAAAGGGAGAAGCATGGACAAGGTGTGTATCCCTTGAATTCCCTCTAATTAAACTGTCAGACTAAACCTTTCTCATCAACAGTAGCTTAAAAATGAGCACTTTACTCAGAACATTAAAATAAAAATATCCTTATTTTCATATATATTTATATGTAAATGTAGATCTTCCATGTAACATGGAGATGTGTGCAATAGTGTGATTATGAACAAAAGGCTAGAAGGCAAGCAATAAAAAAGGGTTTTTTTCATGGTATAAGCATGCATTTTTAAAATGTTTCATTTGTAAATTATAAATTTTCCCTTCAACATCACGTTGTCCAGGTATGAATAAATATATAAATATGTACATATGTACAAATAATTGTAAATACTAGGACTATAGAAAAATCCCTTCACTTTTAGCTCTGTTTTTGGCAAAGGGCTCTGACTGTATAGTTTAATGGAGGCCCCTGCTAAAACGCTCTTGAACCTGAATAGCTTGATTATGTTTTCTGTGGCTGAGGTCTCCTTCCTGTAACCTAGTGAGAGTTCTTACTTTCTGTTCATATGGGCAAGATCTAGGGACTCTCCAAACCTCACTGGACTGGGGTATGAGAAACAGAGGTTTGTGTTTCACCCTTAGCTACATCCCAGGTACTCAAACCCTTCACAGTGTAGAAACTGTTGAGTATTTCTCCATGCACGGCACTGTATAGTCAGAACTCTACTCATGCCAAATATGAGTGTGCTCAGTCATGTTGAATCACCTGATAAGGAAGGATTTTACATCCTTATCCAAGAATGGGACCTTCTCAAAGGCTTTTAATGGCAAAGTCTTCTCCAGCAAGACTTCTCTGGGAAAGAACATTTGGGTAACTCAGAGCTGCATGCAAAAAGCATATCTTCAGTTTGCACAAGAAGCCCGATGCTGTCTCATGTTAGTCAGCCCTGCTGCTACTGCTTTTGTTGGTACAACTATTTTTTCATTCACTGACCCTTTTCTCTACACTTGCTTGAGTCAGTAAAAAAAAAAAACAAACAGGCGTTTATCACATGGTAAAGTTACATTTATTGCCCACTTATATAGAAAAGTAGGCATATTGTATAAACTCAGTGAAAAAAACCCAAAACGTTTTAAATATTTACATGCAGTTATTGTGAGCATCAGCAAGGCTTTTAAATGGGCATGTTCCAGAAAATTTAATTTGTTGGTCTGAATTAAAGCCATCTCCTTCTATGGGAAGAAGGAGTATGCTTTACTGTTTCACTGCTGAAACATTTACAGTGGCCCTACATATGTTGCAAATTTGTAAGACTACCAATTGGATAAGTGAATATACATGCAAAGATTTAAGTGAATGGGAGTGTCGTGCAAGGAATACCAGAATACAAGAGTTAGACCTTATTTTCATTTAGAAGGGGTCTGTGCAATTTCATTTAGTATAGAATTTGTGTCTGGGATTTTAAAGCTATTGTCACAAATCTATGTACCAAATATGCAGAGGTTTCCTATAATTTGAGTAAATCTTGCAGGTCTTAAATACTTAATGTGGACAGTATGAGTGAGAATATATGTCACTTCTCTATCAAGGACTTGCACGTGGAATCTGCCAGTGAATTTTTTGGTTAACATATTAATCTAATTTACTTCTCCCATTATTCTTGGGTCAGCGTGTCATATTTTATGACTTAAGAAATTAGTAGAATAAATACAAAGATAAAACACTGTGGTGAAGTTAGATTGAATTACAGTAATTCTAAATGAGGTTTATGAATAGGCTTCCAGTGTAGTACTGGGGTACATATTTCTGGATGCATATGTCAGTTAATTTAACAGTAATTTATAAATCAGCATGAAAAATAGAGATCAGCACATTTTATCAGCCAGAGTTGTCTGCTGGAGACTTCATGACAGAGGAGTAGCTTTGAAACTTCTCAATTATGCTGTGGCTAATTAAATTACCTCCACCTGTCATATATGAGCTAATTCAACTTGTAACTGCTGCATTGTTGAGCACCTTTAAAAAAATATTATGGTAGGCGTTCTGAGATATGAGCTTTAGTTTGGGAGACTACTCATACCACTCACATTATTCTAAATTAAGGAGCAAATTTGCCCATATAGTCACAGGAAAGAGCATCTAGAGACAGATCAGGAGCCTTACTGAATCACCTTCCCTTCCCTTGTGGTTACAGATAACATACAGGGTGGTGAGACTTTTCAAAAGTAACCAAAAACTCTCTGCATGAAATCAGCCAGAAGCAGCAGGGAGGAGGTAGGGATGTAGGGAGGAGGAAAGGAGAAAAGAGAGCACACAAATGGCTTTGTTACCATGGCAGTGGAATGTGAGATAACTGAGGAAGAAGTCACTGAGGGAGGTAATGTGTATTTTTGTTTCAGCTTCAGGTCTGAGCCTTCACTGCCACATGTGAGTTGTGGACAGTAACTTCTAGAGCACATAAAATGGAAATACTTGCATAATTCTACTGAGCTTGAGGGACACGAGTTGTGCCTTTGAAAGTGAGAGGCCTCTACTGACTGCTTTGTGCAAACAGACCATGCAATGATGTGTGTCTTCTGCTGTTTGGAACATCTTGGGTGGAAGGAGAAAAGAAAGTTTCCTTGAAAAGCATGGCTTTCACTTAAGCACAGAAGAGTCAGCACTCATCCTCCATACCTCTCATTCCTATTCTGAAAGCTTAGTAGTGCACAGGTTTTGCCTTGGCCTTCAGAAAATAGATGCTGCTGAACGTTACCACTCCTATCAAATTTGTATGAAAGATTATTTTAGTGTGGATATAAAACTATCATAATTTATGCCCACTTATGTGCAGACACATAATGCTAAAATTTATTAAGTCATGCAATGAGTTTTAAAGTAGAGGAAGAAAACATTTAATAATAAACCCAGTAATTTAAATAAATTCACTTAAAACCCACGGAGTTTGAAAATTGTGCAAATGTCTAAACATACCTAAATAGACTCTCTGAGTGTGGTATAATTTCATGTCACATATAAAGTTTTTTGTCTTGCACACATTTAAATGCTAAATAATCATGTGAATTTATGTAAAAGTCAAATCACACTTCAGCCTTGAGTAAATCAAATGGTTCTTTATAAAGAGGTGTTAGGGTTCCTTCCATCTCATCCCAGCAATGGTGAACCTCCTGCTAGAATGCTCTTAGTGTGCAATATAAGTTCAAGTTACATCTCTTTAACATCTTTTTCTTTGTTTGTTTTTAGTCAAGGAGACCTCCACCACATTTCTGTAGATGACCCAAAATCCCTAACAAATAGAACTTTTAATTATTTTCTAAATCCAATTATTAATTACGGCCATCTGAGAATCAGTGAGGAACTTTAGGTCTTTAGTAGTAGAGTTTAAAGGCTCAAAACTTTCTTAAAATGAATGGCATATGTTAATCACATAAAATGTTTTTTTCTCTCTACTTTAAACCACTTAATTTTCTAGATTCAGATCCTTCTAGGTGAATCTTCTAATTCATGTTTTTGGAGTCTGCGACTATTTCTTACTGGAAGAGGATAAATTTTGAGGGCTTGACACCTCTGATGGAGATCAGGGCAAAAATTTGCATTGAATTTAAAATAAAACTACATCCTCATCATATTCATCTCTATCAATGAAGTCAGTAAGGACTTTTACAGAAGATGAGTACACCTGACTACACCTGGGCTCTCCTTTGGCTTGGGTTGTCAGTTCTTTAATCTGTGAAAATAAGCCCTTAAAAGATGTGTCAACCATACTGAAATACAGGACTTATGTCTATTTTTTTCTTGATATTTATTAATGCCCTTTGAAAATATTGTGAAAGTGCTATAAGTTAGGATGAGGTGATAACACTAACAAAAAGGATTTTGGAGGATACTTTAAAATATGCAAGATGATGTATACTCTTCCTCTAGTGTTGGAGTCTACATAAATATATATGATTATATTTTTATTGTTGGATAATTTAAAAGCTCTATTTTACTTTCTAATTCTTTACATAATGTTGTGAATACTTCACTTCATA